AGAGGCACAGCAGTAAACTGCACGAACAGGATTGCTCCTGCACATTCCCACTGAGAGCGTTTCTGCTTTGGAAATGTACAAAAGCTCTAGAGGGCTCTTGTACGTTTCCAAAGCAGAAGTGCTGCAGGCAGCAGGGACTCAAGAAGGGATGAGAGCTGGTGCTGGGGGAGCCAGCTTAAAAGCCGGTTCTCCCCAGCATTAGCTCCAGGGTGCCACCAGCCCCAATTGCTGCCTCTATCCGAGACAGCAGGGGGGATAGGGGACGTTGCTGCAAAGTCTGCAGGGGTCCCAGCGGGGAGCTGGGCCCCCCTGTGGAAGGGGCAGTTGCCGCCAAACAACCCCCCAGGGCAGGAGGCTGTTAAAAAGCCTCTAACTACATTTTAAATGCAGAGCCGCAGCACAGGTGGCTCTGGAGCTGGCACGAGCCAGGACTGCTCACTCCCAGCTCAAGTCAGCTCCTGGAGCTACCCCCGCTGTGGCTCTGCAGAGGCACTTATCGACTAATCGTATAGTCGATTCAAATTGTATCGACCATACGATTGGTCAGATAATTTCATTTTAACATCCTTACCATGTCATAAGAACGGCCATACTGGGTCAGACCAAAGGTCCATCTAGCCCAGTATCCTGTCTGCCGACAGTGGCCAGCACCAGGTGCCCCAGAGAGGGTGGACCGAAGACAATGATCAAGCGATTTGTCTCCTGCCATCCCTCTCTAGCCTCTGACAAACAGAGACCAGGGACACCATTCCTACCCCCTGGCTAATAGCCTTTTATGGACCTAACCTCCATTAATTTATCTAGCTTGTCTTTAAACTCTGTTATAGTTCTAGCCTTCACAGCCTCCCCTGGCAAGGAATTCCACAGGTTGACTATGCGATGTGTGAAGAAGAACTTTCGCATATTAGTTTTAAACCTGCTACCCATTAATTTCATTTGGTGTCCTCTAGTCCTTATATTATGGGAACTAATGAAGAACTTTTCTTTATTCACTCTCTCCACACCACTCATGATTTTATATACCTCTATCCTATACCCCTCAGTCTCCTCTTTTCCAAACTGAAAAGTCCCAGTAGCTTTAGCCTTTCCTCATATGGGACCTGTTCCAAACCCCTAATCATTTTAGTTGCCCTTTTCTGAACCTTTTCCAAGGCCAAAATATCTTTTTTGAGGTGAGGAGACCACATCTGTACACAGTATTCAAGATGTGGGCATACCATAGTTTTATACAGGGGCAGTAAGATATTCTGGGTCTTATTTTCTATCCCTTTCCTAATAATTCCTAGCATCCTATTTGCCTTTTTGACCACCGCTGCACACTGTGTGGAAGTTTTCAGAGAACTATCCA